GAGGAGGAGGTCTTGACGGTGGTGGAGCACTAGTGGGCTGAGTCATTAGAGGGATCTCTGATACAGTGAGCCATACATTATCCAATGAATCCATGTTTTCTTCAGATCTTGGAGACCTATCCGCTTGTACATTTGTTTCCTTAGGACTAACATTTACATAGGAAGGTGGAGACATATTTTGACCAGATGATCTGTGAGAATCGCTTGAAACTGTAGGCATATCAAACAAGGTCTGATGAGAATCCCAATGATTTCCAATAGGGGCCTTCTTTTGAGAATGGTTATCTGGACTTCTCACAGAAGGCTTCACAGTTGATTCTTTACCAGTTGAAGCTCTGCCGTTATTTGTGCTTGTATCTGCCCTTACATTGACACTATCATTTCCCCTGTAATTTCTTCCTGATGAAGATGTTGGGACTGACTTTCCAAGGCCATCAAAGGGATCAATATCATCAAATGCTCGCCCAGTATCAACAGATCGACTATCAACCTTCGAGCTTCCTGATTTCGAAAGTCTACTTATTTCTTCCAAGGGGTCACTATACTGCCCTGATACTACAAAAGGATCTTCCATCACATTGGAGTTTGTTTTAGACACATCATTGGCAGTCGATTCATGGGGCCAACTGGCCTCTGAGGTTGACCTGATTCACGAAAAGACAGTACAGATGCATAAATGTAACAAGATTTTTACTTGAAATGAGCATGAACATGCCATTGCATTAACACAGGAAGCAACACAGCTAAAAGTGGTTGATAAATTTAAATATAAATCACAACACTGCAAGTAAAAAATGAATCAACATCAATTTAACTGCATACATCTTGTCTACCCAAGAAAAAAAACAAACAGTGAAAGATCATGAAATTACCCAAAATTAGTCAGTTAAAAAGTGCATGACGCATTCATGCTAATATAAGGTCAAGCTTGCCTGAAACTTTTAATTTTAATTTTTTTTAATTAACTGAATGTTAACCATAGAGGTCGCACTTGGTGCGATGGCAAGTGCCTTTGCCCATGAGCGGTAGGTCTTGGGTTCGAGACTTGGGAGCAGCCTCTCCATAAATGGGGGTAAGGCTAGCCGACATTCACCTCTCCCAGACCCTGCGTAAAGCGGGAGCCTTGTGCACTGGGTACGACCTTTAACTGAATGTTAACCATAGAATACAAGCTGGATGGATGAAGTAGAAGAGTGCATCCGGCGTGTTGTGTGACCGCCGTATGCCACTAAAGCTCAAGGAAAAATTTTATGGGACGGCAATAAGGCTGGCGATGCTGTATGGCACGGAATGTTGGGCGGTGAAGCATCAACATGTACATAAAATGGGTGTAGCGGAGATGAGGATGCTTCGTTGGATGTGTGGGCACACGAGAAAGGATAAGATTAAGAATAAGGATATCCGAGGTAAAGTAGGAGTAGCCGAAATTGAAGGAAAAATGAGAGAAAATCGGTTTCGATGATTTGGACATGTGCAAAGAAGGCCTACTGACACTCTGATTAGAAGATGCGACTACGGGACAGAGGTCCAGGGCCGAAGGGGTAGAGGAAGACCTAGGAAAACTTTGGAACAGACTCTAAGAAAAGACTTAGAGTACCTGGATCTAACGAGGACATGACACAGAACCGAGCGCAATGGCGTTCTAAGATTCATATAGCCAACCCCACTTAGTGGGAAAAGGCTTTGTTGTTGTTGTAACTGAATGTTAATCAGTGCTCTTCCCTATGAAATAATATATGCATAAGCTCAAATACTATATGAATCAATTTGCATATATAAGGAAATTTTGTCTTTCCAGATTGTTAATCTTATCAATTCATAAGGTTGATTATTGTTTAAATAATTGGTCACAATTGCGACAGGAAAAAGAATAACCGGTCACAAACAACTGAGCCTTCTCCTTATCTCTCGTTTGACAAAACTATACCTAATTTTTTTAGTGAATCAAAGAGGATCATGCATCATTTCCCTTCATAGTACAATATGACAATGAATTTAAAGAAATAGGATTGCACTTTCATCTGTAGAGTTTCTTTTCCTCCTTATGCCGCTGAGTTTGTGCCTTATTTTCACCCTACACAGTTCAGGGCAATCAAAACACAACATTGCGGAACCAAAATCTGAAACCTTAGCTTATGTCAAATGTAAGTACAGCATGAGTATCAGACCATAAATGACCTTCCAATGTCCATATCTCCATTCAACCGATCCAATGTCACCCACTAAAAGTGAAGAATAGCTTGATCTATCACTATCATTCATCAGGACTTGGGAATAAATGTCGATTCAACACAAAATACAGTGCAAGCCTAATACAGAAAATTTAGCATTTTATCAATCAGCGTCCATAATATATGAGTACAAACTTTCAAACTCAGCGTGCATGTTGATCCTAATGTGGGTAATGCAAATCGATCCAAATTGTTCATCATACAATATTCTGTGCTTAACCAGTTTTCGGGTACATATCCAATAGACAATTTACCAAAATTTTAGCCAATGCATAATTCGCCTCACACAATTGATCTAATTTGAACTACTTATGCCTGATCAAACAAGAAAATAACGTGTTCCCTAAACATACAAGCACAACACATACATATACATTAATGATGGCAAACACCAATACCTTTCACTAGGAGCATTACCGCCTCCAAACCCAGGTAGCAAATCATCGAAGCCGGGCACGCCCTTCTCCACTTTATCCGATCCTCTGGAGCCTGAGCTTTTCAATTGGGGCTCGGCCTTGCCAAACCCGCCAAGAATGTCATCAAACCCACTGGCTCTACTACTCCCTTTGGACGGCGGCGACGTCACCGACGAGAAAATGTCCTCGTACTTAACTTTTGCAGCCGTGCTCTTCAGCCCCGGAACGCCAACGAAAATGTCGTCGTCGTAAACGGGTTTATCGTAAACGGGCCCCGAATTCGTGGACGATGACTTTGGAACCGAATCAGCAGACCCACCAAACATTGAATCGAAGTTGAAAGCCGCATCCTCGCCGCGGCTCTCCAATTTACCGGAATACCGCGCCGACCCGCCAAAGATATCGCCTAAGTCTTGACCTTTAGAGGATCCGAAGATCGAATCGCGATCGTCGGCGATTGACCCACTAAAGGAATTGGTGGCGCGAGCTGATCGGGAGGTCCCAGTAGATCCGAGATCAAAATTTGAGGGCTTTGATGAAGAATTAGCAGAAGAAGCAGACATTGGGGCCGATTTGCCGGAGGGCTTGAAGCCGAAATCGGAGGCCAAGAGACCCTCGAAGTCGTTCATGGCGATTGGGATTTCTGGGTCTCCCCCCTCTCTCCTTCCTCCTCCTTGTGTTATTGGTTTTTGGCTGTACAAAAACAAATGGAAGGATCCCTGAATTCCCTCAAAGGGTAGATGTGCAATTATATGAAAAGTTAAAGAGGTGATCTTGTTGCAGAAGAGGACAGGGTCTGTTGGGGATCTGAGGGAGAAAAACTTTGAGAGAGAGAGAGAGAGAGAGAGAGAGGAGGTGGGGGAGGAAGGTAACAAGTATCTGATCTGCCTCTTTTTTACATGTTTATTTGTTTTTCTTTTTTCTTTTTTGAGTTTTGAATCTTTCTCTTTGTTTATTTGAATTTTTCTTTGTTTCTTCCTTTCCTTCTTCCTCCGCCTTGGGTGGTGGTGAAGGTGGTGTTAACACGATGAGAGATAAGGAAGACTTGGGTGGCTATTTTTGGTCAGTGAGATTAGACAAAGATCTTGGGAGCCTAAGCCGGATTTATTCACAAGAGAGATTCACCATGAGTAAATATTTCAAGTTTTTTCTTAAAATTGTGTTTTATTAATTTATTCATTTAATGGATATTTTAACATTTTTTAACTACATATTAACGGAAATGATTAAATAATAAATATTTAAACTTTAACAGTACAACGATCAAAATAAATCTTGACGTATAATATAGTAACGTTTTTAACCCTTTTATTTATGGGTTGAATATACCCAAAATGACCGAACTAAATTGAATCAAACCAATTAACAATTGTTTGATTTGGTTCTGTTTCAAATTCAATGGTAATATTGTTCAAAACTGGACCAAATCCAGCCACATAAAACTAGTTAGTTCAAATATAATTTCGACGTCAAATCAAACCAAACCGATATGCGGCCACCCAGTCCCAATCACATCCAAAAGCTGACTAAAGCGTATGACGAAAACATCGTGACATAAAAAAATTTAAATGCCTTATGTAATGAGCACCTTAACAATGCATCTAGTCAAAACACACGATGGTTTCCATGTATCAGGGAAAAATTAATGAAAAAATTTTGAAATTTTTAAGTTTTAATAAAAATGATAAAATAAAAAAAAAAAAAATAGTATCGTAATTGATTTTTTATTATTAAAATATAATTCTTCGTTAAAATGAATAGTACCAAAAAATTTTCGTTAAAATTTCTATAAACATAACATGGCCGAAGGTTGCAAACCGAAAAATCGCATTAAAAATTTTATTATATTTTTCATCTTTACTATTAAAAATTTAATAGAATTCTCTTTGTTTCAATAAAAAAATAAAATAAAAAAATAAAATATTGTCAATTAAAAGAGGGCAAAAAAAATCATCACACCTATCAAAAAAATAATCACACCACATCTTTAATTATATCAATTGTCCTCATTTTTTCTCTCAACTCCCTCTCTCTTGTACGTTTTTCTTCCAAATAAAATAACCACTCTGGCGAAATAAGTACCTAAAAACAATTACTAAAGATACGAAGAATCTCTTCAGCGACAGAAAAAACCATTTTAATAGCCACACGAATAGCATATATAAATTGCTAATATGAATAAAAATGTGTAGATGCAGTCGGGCATACCGTGTCCCGACAGCTCTCAACAAAACACACCTCCTGTATTTCGGCGTCCCCAGCCGACATCACTAATCGCGCCCGTTTGTGAGAGCAGCCGAAGATTAGGATGCCGATGCCCTCCTCAAACAATATGACAGTGGAAAGCAATACGAGAGTGGAAACAAATCACCATAAGATTAGGATGCCGATGCCCTCCTCAAACAAAAACTGTTAAACCCAGCTGGGTTGTTTGGTATTCTGTCTACATAATACGTAAGACCGGAGGAATACATGCATTGTCTTTCCAAAGGTGCAGTAATTTAAAACCAGGGGAGATGAGGGTACATGTTACTAATGCGGTCGACTGGTTCGATCGCTTACAGCATTTCCGGAATTTATAAGCCAGTAGGGCAGGTCGTCCTTGTGTCTTCATTCATTTCACAGACTCGCGTACGTTCCCAAAGATGGTCAAAACCGTGTGCGTTTGACGTCGGATTCAGGAACACTTGCATCATTCCCATTACCCCCGACTGAAGTAGATGCTTGCCCTCGAACCTGCAGAAACAATCATGTCAGTTACTTCTTTGTGTTGTTAACCTATCTTCTCAATTGCATAAAATGTTATAGCTCCTTTATCAAATGTTCTAACGGTCTAACTTCCTGGGGGCATTTCCAAAAATTGAAAAATAATGAAAAAAAAAAAAAAAAAAAGAACTCGATATTTTCAGTTTTGTTGGAAAGTGGTTCGGCTGCTGCATATCGTACCCTTAGCCTCAGGATTTGGTTAGCAAAATGTAACCTTCGTGATTTTCTATATGTTTCTGAGTTAAGAAACTCCCACGACGTGAACCTCTATAATATGATCGTCTTCAAGTGCCCAACTTTCGCAGTTGATTATGGAATCTGATTCTATGACAATCTGATGAAAACATGTTTTTCCCCCTAATTGCCTAAGTAATCTGATTCTCCGTGTGCCGACAACTATGAGTCTATCTAATCCACTTGGATGTTGAACACTATGAGACACAAACTTACAGTTTCATCAGGAACAACTGCATATCTCACCGATGGTGACACCCAAGTTTTCCCTGTTCAAGAGAAGCAAAAAAAAGTCACAAAATCTGAAGCTGTCAATAATGGAGTTCTCAAGTCGCCACAATACATAATAGATACATAGGAGAACTTTCAAGGGGCCATATTACATAGGAATTTCAAGTGAGGATGTGAGGGATTACTGCACCTGTAGATGGATCAACTTTTGAAGATTCTATTTGTTGCCCGGTAGATCCATCAACACTCAAAGACTCGATAATCTTTGGAACGTTCCTTCATTTCAAAATGTTTGTACATCCATCATCAGTTATGAGATTACATAAACGAATTTGTTTATGGACACTGAAAAGAGCAATCTTATTGAGAGTGCACCAGTTAGAATTCCAAGAAATAAATTCCCCTACCTAGCTATTTTTTAAGCTAAAAATGCGTATAATCAGGCCTATATTACCGACAATATTAAGAAGTTACATGTGCATAATTGGTCAAGAGTCTATATTTCATGATTTTCCATATGTGATGATTCAGAAACCTATAAGCGCCATGTATTGTTGCTTTACTAATGTTCCCAACATCTTAAACTCCTCCAATGTGGAGCAAAAATTATCCCAAATTCTAACATATATTAAACAGATATATGGTGTAGGAATTTGAATAAATATATCAAAATTACCGATCAACAGATTCCCCATGCCCAAGCTGTCCATTTGTGCCTCTCCCCCAGGAGAACACATTTTGTCTTTCAGTAACAGCAAGTGTGTGTCTCCATCCACAAGATATTTTAACTACTTTCTGCCAATGCAAGATGGATCACTTGATTCATTACCAAAAAAATTCTCCCAGATGACAAATCAAAAGAAGATAATCTCCACCGAACTGAATATTACGGCAATGAGAATGTACCTGCTCATTTGGAAATTCAACTTGCACAGGAGAACAGTGATCGATGTTGTCACCCACTCCAACTTGTCCAAACTGTCCATGAAATAGAAAAAGGCAAGTAACGAACCCCAAGGGAAATGAGGAACTGACTTGCTAATAAGATGAAGTGACAGAAAAGTAAAAGCTTAAAGGGAAAGGAAAAGAACAATCATTCATTAACGAGGAAAAATTATTTATAAGTGAAAATAAGGGAATAGAAACCTTATTCCAACCCCAGCCATAGAGTATTCCGTCAGATGTGAGTGCCATGGTATGCCTCCAACCACCAGCTGTCTGGTAAGATACAAGCCAGAAAAGTTTTAATCCAGAGGACTGCAAACAAACTGTTTCATCTATCATATCCAAGTGACTTTCTAGCCAACACCAATTTCTCTAACAATGCTTCATATGTCAATCAGCAAGAGTCAGTGCATAATCTAGCAGATGAAATATATTTCCCGAAATAAGTTCAATGAAATTAATCCACATTCAGAATTATGTGCAAACAGACACACACACACACACACACACAAAGTCTACCGCTTTAGCCTTTGTTTTTTCTTTAGGTAGCAAGGAACAATAGGTCTACACATTGTGACCCTCATCCCCCTGCAGATGCACCAGGGACAGATATGGTTTGAGATGCATGTGTTGGGCACTATTGTGGAGTGGTCAGGTCCCCAAAGAAGGGGGCACTGTTTGAATGTGGAGCGTATTTGGTTTTATCATTAACGTACCTCCAAGGTAAGTATTGACATTGTTGAATAGAAAATGCTCAATCATCTATACATGTCATCCGGTTTATCAGTTAGTGATAAATCTAAAACAAGAAGGGTTGTAGATTCGCGTCAGGCACAAGCTCAACCCTGCCAAAAAGATGAAGATCAATACGAGAATAATGTTTGACAATGCGCCCAATAGCCTATTCCCTACAAGGAGCTCGGAAATGTTTCAACTTTTTTATTTATAAAAGGTTCATAATGTTGATGGTATGTTCTGATCTCTTGGTCTGAAAACAACACAGGGTATACTGCTAGATTGGGATATAAATGAGAAAGAAGTCTCATGAAGGCATATGTTTAATGAAGATACCAGCTTAACCAGCTGCGAAGTATCTTCTTGTGGGAAATGGACCAAATGGTTTATACTTCCCGTCAGTAGCTCATAGACACACGGACCTTAAAAAACCAAAAACGAAAGTATGTTCTTGTGGTAAATGGACTAGATACCTGTTTCTGGAGAAACTAGAATATTGAAGAATTGTCAGCAGCATCTTGCAGATTTAACTTTCACCCATTCAACTATTGCTGCCCAAACCATTTCATTACTCTCCATTCTAAATTTGTTCAGTAAGCTCCATGCAGTATGATCAAATAACATAGAATTTAATTGACTATCAGACAATCATTGGACCCTAAAAAGCTTAAGCAGTGAGGGAATGGACCAACAAAGACAGATCAATCCCATGTGGTTTGCAATTTAACAAATAATACGGGTGTAGAGAAGATAGATTTCACATGTCATAAGAGCTCTGATACCATACGTGACAACCACAGATGCCAAAAAGGAATGAGAAAACAATAATATCAAATTAACAAAACACAAGGCAGGAAACTTAACTCAAAACTAGTACCAATGCTGCTTGTATCTTTATACGAATCAATAAAGCATTATATTAGAGTCTAAAAGCTAAGAGATCACCTCACAAATAAATTTGTCACTCAAGGCTTCTAGCTCGTGAGGAACAAGGTGATCCTCAAAATCCCCATGTCCCAGTTGACCATATTTGCTCCAACCATATGTGTACAATCGACCCGATGAGGAAACAGATATCGTGTGCCTCCACCCACACGCAACCATAACCATCTTCTCACTCTGCATTTTTAGAAGTCACAAATTGATCTGTTACGCAATTGAGAAAGCAAAGGCAATAGAGGGATTTGAACCAAGTAGATTCGAATGAAAATAGGACATTTGCAAATATCAACCTTATAATATAAGAATCTAGCATTAAAAAAACACCTATGGTTTGATGAGAGGAGTTTTTAAGTGTCGCGTCATTAGTTTAGTTAAAGAAATACTGACAAAAATAGCGTCCAACTACAACCGGGAGGGTGCAGATAAATATCAGCACATCCCATAACACTTAAAAATGAATTATTAGGGTAATAGTTGGTAATATTTTCGTTTTGATTTTTACTTAAACGATAGAGAAGAAAAATGAGGGGAGAGAGAATAAGGATGATGGATGTGAATGGGAAAGACAAAGTGTATGTGACCTAAACAGCTGTGAGATTACTATACAATTTAAGTAGTTCTAAATTGTCTAAGAAAACAACTTTGCCTAGTGAGAGTGGGCTATAGACTAGCCTAGGCATTTAGGAGGGGCGCCAGAGGCTTTGTCGAGGTGCCACCTAGGTGCTTGAATTCTTTTTTTCTTTTAACAGCCCACACCCAAAACAAAGCCGTCACGGTTCGGATGGACTTCGCCGTTCTTTACCAACTAAAATAGAAAAGGTTGTATCACATCAAGATGTCTATTCGTTTTCCGCCCCCAATGAGATGGAGAATTTGTAACCCCCTATTTTATACTGTACTTTTTTGGCCCTTCATCTTGCGTCGTTCCAACAACCGGCAGGGAGCACCTCAATATACGATCGTGCACAGTAACTGGGGGGCGTGATTTTTTTAAAACTCAAATTCTTCTGTCTTCTCCCACCTTTCTTTACTTCAAAATTCCAAGTCTCAAGCCAACAACACTGCCAATCTCCAATCTCACCCGTCAATTTCGCAAAAGTAATTTGTAAGTTTAAATTTAAGGTTAGGGTTTCTCACCAACATTGGGGTTTATGAAAAATTAAAAATTTATGCTAATTTTATATTTCTAACTTAGTTTCTATTAGTTTATTATATTATTTTATATACAACTATATTATTAAGTAGTATAATAATTTTAGGTACCGTGAATGCCTTGGCTTCGCCTTCGCCTTCCAAAACAAGATTTCCAGTTGAAATCTGTCTGGAACAATACTCCCCATTGACACCATCCCTCATCATATAGCTTTCCAGCTAAAGGGGCAACTCGTGTATCTGTTGCCTATCAAAGCAGAGCCTGCTTTGACAATCCTAGACAACAAAGCACATCCATTAGATGGAGCCCTGGCACGGATACTGAAGCACAACAATATCTCCCTTCCAAAGCCTAATCACTAATCCTTTACGAAGCTCCCCGACTACTTTCAAGACAACGCCACTTCGAAAGATCCAATTCTCTTTTGTAATTTCAACTTAGTAAATGGGCACGTGGCTCACTTTTGTGGCAAAATTTGACCATTCACCAACTTGCCCAACCCCCAAAATCTCCAAATTCCATGTTTTTCTTCCCTTCATTTTTGCTTAATGTTGAGATTTAAGTTCAACAAAGTGTATGTATTCATGAAAAAGAATTACAAGGGAGAGGTCTCATAAAAAGGAGACGAAGCAAGGAAGGAAAAACCTACCCAATAAACAAATGCAAACAGCTACAAAGTAGTAGCTAGAGAGAAAAAGGCTAGCCCTAGATACAACTCACAAGAAATCTCCTAGAAGACATAAACCCTAAAATTAAGGAATAACACTTTAACACAAAGTGAATAACACTTTAACACAAAGTGATGGCCACCCATCAGTTTCAATAGTTAATTTTAGACAGCATAAGCCCTACTTAGTTTCAGATCACATTTACTTAATATCATAAATGATGGCCAAAAGCAGAATAAAATAAAAAGCACCAGATCTTAAGACTTACATTAACCATAGAAACCCTCTCCGGAACCATGCGATCGTTCCTATCACCTAGGCCCAAGTTTCCATATCGGCCCCAGCCCCACCCATAGAGCGACCCATCTTCTGTGACAGCTGCAGTATGTTCAGCACCAGCAGCAACCATTTTGACAGATAACCCCTGGCAACAAGATATGAAAAAACTCATTGCATAACCATTTCAGGGAGGTAGGCAAAAACACTAGTTTGTAGGAAAGATAATATAAACCGAAATGACATAAAGCTTGAATTACAACAGATTGGACACAGAGATATCCAATCAAAGCTCCCAACTACTAAAGAACGTTACAAGAAAGAAAGGAACAGCTCTAAGTTTATTTAAAAGTGAATCACATAAGAATGCGACAATCTTACTCTTTCCCCTACAAAATTTACTTCTCCACCTTGTCTTAAATATTTTTATTGTTTGCTGCCCTTAATATATAAAAAAATTAGTCAAACCTCACACTCCGAAGAGTATTTGCCTTCTTAACAGCCCCAACACCCATGTCATCCACAACCATAAAAAATACCAATTTCAACGCAAAAAGAACCCCGATCCAAATAGTACGTAACCTAACCCATGGTTCCAGAGTGTGCTATAAAAAGTAGAGCAAGTAATGGGAGCTTAATGCTGACAGGTCAACCAATCTAAGAGTAATATGTGCAAGAACACTGATCCTAAACCTGAAAGTAACAAAATTACGATATGCAACCCAACTAGACACTAGGCTTTTAAGAATAAGCCAGACTACTAGGCAGTGGTGATCAGACTGAGATTTGATAACATTTAAACGTGAAAAAATCGAAAGCTCTAAAGTGATTGCCTACTAATTGAAAGTTAACAAATAACAGTTACGTGATGTGGGACGAGAAATGGGATGCCAATCAAAAGTTGGAAAAGACATCCAGCATCAGATGGATTGGCATCTTCAGCCTAAAGGCTTGATAAATCTTGATCAGCATAATTCCAATATTAGTGTTATAGAGGGAGTCATCAAAGAAACTAATGAAGCAACATGCTGGATGATGGATCCAGTTGTTAATATCTTGAAAGATGAATGGAGCCAAACTAAGACCAGTACCGCCATTGTGTATCACCAACTCTGAAAGAAAACAAACCACGAAAAAAAACAACAGAAAAAGAAAAAAACAAAACAAAACCAATCATAACCAGCCGAGCCCATTTAGTGGGATAAGGCTTGGTTGTTGTTGTATAACTTAAAGATTAAAAGCATCCCACAAAAACCAAAGGCACTGCATTTTTTGAAAAGTCAGTTGATTCTCTCCGCCAACAGTTGACATTTCAGAAGAGAGACAAAAGAGGGTAATGTTAGGGTAAAAATAAACCAATTAGTTCTTACATGTCAGAGACAGAGAAAATGCCACAAATTTAACCCAAGTATATTGTTACACATTGTTAAACAAAAAAAGATCAAGTCAACTGACCAAGCTGAAGCATAATCACTGAACAGAATAGCATGAGTAGAACTTTCCAGTTTCACCAGAATGAACAGAAATTTCAACCATTCAGTGCAGGGCAATTGGATAGCTTGATAGACGGTCAAGTCAAACCACTAGACATTGTAGTAAAATACCCAGAAAAATAATGCAGAGACATGAGAACACGGTTTCGACCCCTGAGAAGGCAATCCACAAATCAAAAGTGTGGGATCTTGAAGCTGAATATCTATATCAGGAGTCACAGTCAGCCGGAAGCACAGAATATTTTCAGCACCGTTGATATGAATGTCATGGTTTCTGTGTATCACCCATCAACGTCTAGAAAACTCAAGCCTTGGCAACAATGATCCTTCGAGCAGTTGGAGTAAGTTGGCATAAACTACTCAGTGGAGAAAAATATTGTTGATTCTCTCAGCCTTACTTTTGTTTGATAAATAATGTTAGGGTGGTTTTTACAGAAACTAATAATTATTGAGTTTCCCTAAGCTACAAAGCTATGAAAAAATCTGCATTTTACAAGCACACCAATCTTCTAAGCCATCTTATGAAGCTTAAAAATAGGGTCACATAGATTTCTAGCCCGAATGGAAAGTGGAATTGTACGCATCATCAGGATGAATGCAACATCCTTTTTAAAGAATTGGACTGAACAAAATATGATGAACCTGAGACATTGGATCTATAACTCCTAAAGTTTACTATTTAACTTTTGTGTAAGGTTACAAAAAGTAAAAAGGGGAAAACAAAAAATTAGAAGCTTATTAACCAAACAAAATGTTTTCCTAGAATCAAATTTTGGTGTCATTACTGACATTTAGACAAGCGAGAAAAAGGTATCTTCCACTTTTGAATCTCACCCATCAAGCATCACAAGCCCTACTGTCAAAGTGGAACCTCCACGCACGCTTGGCTCGGTAAAGCTATGTACCATTTTACTTTGTTTTCTGCCCAACGTCACAATTAATTAGATGGTCTCTCCTCCCTTCTTATAAGTTCTTATAAGAACTCTCTCATCAATTTATCTGCAGTGGCGATTTTTCACTCTCCTAATTTGTAAACTAGCGATCCTCCTCCTTACTTTTATGCTTTGATAATTCGATCAAAGCAAGGACGTGAAATAGAGTACAAAGTAGGAGTACGGAATCACTGCCGCCCTTTCTCCTAGATCGTATTCCCTACTTGACGTTCTAAGATGGACAAGAAATGGATAGAAATACTACTGCAAATCCGTAGGATCAAAGTTTCCTTCCACCCATCTAATCTTTTCTCACTTTTTCCACCTCTGGTTCCCAAAAAACTTAAGAATAAGGGAACCCCAATTCTTTCTTCAAAGTTGAAACCCACTAACACTTTCAAAGGCCCAAGTTCTGTGTCTCCTAAATTTACTTAATTATACGCGTAAGAGATTAAGACCAAACAGGAAACAAGAAACAATGTAACTAAAATACCTGAAACGCTTGAATTTTCTGTGGTACAAGAGAGTCTTCAGTGGTACCAAGACCAAGCTGACCATTTTGATTTCGCCCCCAACTGGAATAAAATGTGCACCAAAAACAAATCATTAGGTCCATTTGTATAACCCCTGCATGAATCACAGGTGTGGGAAAGACAAGGGCATCGGGACAAAGAAGAATAGTGTAAAGGAGATATACCATGATAGAAAACTATTGTAATCGACATCGTAACTTGGAAATTAAGTTACCATACCATTTTAAAAATAGAATTGAGAGAGCGTGGAGAGTGTGGAGAGCGAGAAAGAGTTTTACAAAGCACAACTAACCTTTGCACCTCACCTTCCATCGTCACTGCCAAACAATGACTATCCCCGCAAGCAATTTGCCTTATCTTAATACCATGTAATGCTTTTATTGGCTGAGGTGTAAACAAGTCACTAGAATTACCATGACCCAATCTCCCAAAGTCACCCCTGGAAATAGTAAAAGACTTAATTCTTATGAAGCTGCAAGAATGCAAGGAAAAAAAAAAAAAAAAAACCGAGCAATAACAGCTCACTTAAGTGAATGATGCCCTTATTACCATACCTCACTTTGTCTATGAGATTTATTCAAACCTTAACATGATATATTCTTATATTTACATCAATAATTACGACATCAATCGAATAAAAGTGTGAAATAAAAGTTCAAACAGGAATGGGAGTATGAGCACCGGTGCCTATAAATGTTGCTGTTATGCTTATGATTGTAATCCTCAGAAGATAGCGTGTGATATATACCAAGTTTTAAAAAGCGGGCAAACACAAAAAAGAACAAACTGGGAACAAAAACACAAACTTGGAAGATAGGGAACAAACCATCCCCAACTATAAACTTCCGAACGAGAGTTGGAGTAAGCAATTGTATGATCAGCTCCACAAGTAATAGACACTATTTCATGGCCGTCCAATGCGCTTAAATGCGTAGGTAAAAGTCGGTCCTCGGCATCACCATGGCCTAACTGCCCATCCTCTCCTCGTCCCCAGGAGCAAAACACATTTTCAGCTGCGCATTACCAACAAACGTTTATTATAGTCCCGAATCGACTCCCTCTCCGCCTATATATTTTTATGTATATATACTTATGATTTGCAGGAAGATGACACCAAACAAGTTAAGAAGTAACAACAATTAGCTAGGACGTGAAGCAGCAACTGAATACGTGTATAAATTAAGCAATCAAATCAACCAGAAAGGTTGGTGTTTGGTAGTGGGGATTAGATTTAGGATTTATGAAACAAAGAAAGAACAAGGAAAAGGATAAAACTTGTAATAAAATCTTACAGAGAAGAGCAACAGAGTGACTGGCACCGGCGGAGATCAGAAGAACGCGGCGAATTGGAGTTGGCGGAGCAGAGAGTACTACTTCACTCCCTCCCGCCCCCGCTCCCGCTCCCTCCTCTGCCATTTTCACAATCTCTCGGGAGGACGAAGGACTTCCAAATTCCCACAAAGTGATTGATCTTTCGGTAATTATGTAATGTAAGGAGGAGAGAGGGAGAGAGAGAGAGAGAGAGAGAGAGAGTTGGGGCCCGTGGGGGTTTAACAGGTAACTGTAATGAGGTCGGTGGAGTAGTTAGGAATGATGACTTGCTTGTCCAGAAAAAAGTGGAAAGTAAAAACCTCAAGAAAGCAAGGAAGCAAGGAAGGAGGAGAGGACAGCGTATATATTAATGCAGAACGGAAACAAAGGCATTCAGTGAGGCGGGGCCCATCTATTTGCCTTCTCAACCACACGTCTGTCTCCGTCTACTCTTTTACCATCTTCCTTCCGGAGGCAGATTCTGCCCTCCCACTTCCCATCCCATACCGTGCTCTTCTGTTTGTGTGGTAACGGTTAAATTACGTTAATATTTTATATTATTATTTATTTTTATTTTATTATATTTATAAAAATATATATAAAATATTAACGTAGTTTAGCAGTGATCACGTAAGATAGAAGGGCACGAAAAATGAGAGGATAGAGAATCTGCCATCCTTGTCCTTTTGACTTCTGAACTTTTTAACTTTTTCGTTTCTTAACTTTTTCGCTTTTGAACTTTTGACTTTTCGTGTTATAGATAGAAACTAGAAATGTTGAGTTTCTCAAGTTAAGCTACATCAATATTTTATATTTTTATTTATTTTAATTTTATTATCTTATAAAATAATATAAAACATTAATATGATTTAACAGTAATCAAACAAAACAAGAAAAAACAAAACAGGAAAGTATAAAAAGTGGGAGGGCAGAAAATCTGCCTCCCTCACCTTCTCTTTTTGACTTCTGAACTTTTTAACTTTTTCGTTTCTTAACTTTTTGAACTTTTGACTTTTCATGTTATAGGTAGAAACTAGAAAGGTTGATTTCGTTTCTCATCATCCATGGACCATGAGCATGGAATAAATAAAAAGAACTTTAACGAAAAAAAATTTGTACTATTTATTTTAATAAAAAATTATATTTTTATATTAAAAAGTTAATCTTTATACTATTTATTTTACTTTTTATTTTGTAATTATCATTGAAACTCAAAATTTTCAAGTCATTTTTATTAGTTTTTCTATAAATAAACCCTTTGGTGTGTTGGGCTGACCAATCCACTACTTTCCGATTGGCAAATTTTTTTAAGCTTTTAGATTTAAACTAATACAATATTATGACTAATATGTATTTGGTTCTTATAATCTTTCAAATGATAATCTTAACATAGCAGAGCTGAAATCCACTAATCATTAATCAGACATAGAAGTGCACGTTCGTAAAAAAAAACATAGAAGTTACGAATGAAAAATTACTCAATTACAATTCATTTATATGTTTGAGTTACGGATGTAACTAGCTTTTTTTAATCTGAAGCATCATTGGTCATCTCAGATTTATGGGCATGGTCTTTATTCTCAATAATGTTAGCAATAAGATCGTGTACATAAAGTATGGAAAAATGTAAGTCATTCAGTACTACGGTCTGGTAGTATTTCTCTTCACTTAGAAATGAGATGTCCTAGATTCGAATCTCATAGATTATCTTTGTAAAAATTCAATTCAATCCGAAATCATTTGTCTATTTAATTATCACAATAAAATTTCAGTGTTTTTTATAGAACAAAGTATTCGTTAATTTATTTGAACTCAATTTGATGTCTCATATATTTCCGATTTGGCTAATATTTTGAAAGGAATACCTAAAAGATGCAACTTGAAAAATAGATGGTTTGGCTCATTGAAGTTTAATGTGGTGTGAGCCCTACAACTAGTTCCTATATAAAAAAAATGAGAATCCTATCACTTAAAGGCCTCCTATATACATATATATAACGAGAAATTAAAGTTTGATTATTATTGAATATAATGAAATAAATAATACTATACTTACCATATTTGTACAATCTTTTTAATAGAGATAGGGTTTTTTTTTTTTTAAGGAGTCTTATATATTAATTAATTTGTAGGGAGAAAGACTAGCTAGATAAGTTTTGAAAAACGAGTGTTAGTTGGGTGACAAACAAAACATTCGAGACTTGCAGATCAGTATGAAAGGATGATTTATAACTTTCGAAAGAATTGCTTTTCGTTTGGTCATGATTTATAACTATTACAAGAGAGCCTACAGAGAGGCAAGCAGACAAAGTCATAAGTATGGGGATACATCAACGATGACTAGGGGTGGGCAAATGGGTATAGGAATCGCAGGTCGATGCGGGTAATCAAGGTTCGAGGCAGGTAAGGGCCGGTTCCTAATTTTTAAAAAGAGAAACGGGCCAAGCCGGGCCGAATCGGGGCTTTAGAATTTTAGGGACTGGCCGAGTCTAGAAGAATAAAAAAATGGGTACCCAGGGGCCCATTTGGGTAACATCCCATTTTAAAAACATTACTATCTCACTCTCCGAGGCTTCCCGTGAGTTCTCACTCTCGAGAACTGAGAACGTTGTCAGACACCCACCCTCACTTTTCGCACCTGCTTGTACTTATCAGCTACAAAAGTCCTACAAGTTCATAATTGCATCAACATATTAAAAAAAATAAAAAATTGATCTCTCTCTCTTTAAGTTCACCTATTGGCTACTGGGTGTGGCAAAGCCAAGGATTCTTAATCTCGATGCTTTTTCTCCTTCTCAGAGAACACACACACCCCCAATCTCTCGATTCTTCTCCCTCATTCCTCTCCTTGTTTCTTTTTCCCCATCTCTGCAACTCTCTTTCCCGGAGTAGACATACCCCACCGTGACCTCCACCATAGTTTCTCACACATTCTCAAAGACTTTCTCCTATCCTCAGTCTCCTCACTCTCTCTTTCTCTCTCCCCCAGTCTCTCTGTCTCTCTCTCCCAACGCCTCTGTCTCCGGTTTCTCACACCTTGGATATGTCGATTCTCGACCTCCTCCCTCTCGATCTCTCTCTCCCCCAGCCTTCTGATTTTTTTTTTGTTTGGTTTGAGAATTGAGGTTTTAAAACAATTGGGTTTTGGTTTGGATTTGTAGGTGTCAGAAAATCTTGCAATTCACAAATAAGAGGTTCCAGCCTGTGCATGATTTTACCATCGATGTCGAGTTCGGAGCTCGAATGGTCACCATCGATGGTCGTCCCTTATTGTTTTCTGTTTGGCTACTGAGAAAATAGAATTTTCGTGGTGAATCAATTGGGTTTATGGTTTTGTACCATATTTGGAAACGGCGCGGCAAGCGAATGTGGGTCTTGATGTCGGAGACCAAGTCGAAGATCTAGAGGATGGCGAGTCCATGAGGCGATCAAAATCGGAAAAAAAAAAAGACCCATGGATCCGTCCCGACCCGGCCCGTTTGAAACGGGCCGGGTTAGATCCGATTCCAGTAATCAAATTTGCAATACCCGGCCCGATCTAGCCCGTTTTCTTTTTAAGCGGGTCCGGTCCGATCCTTCCAAATTTGGGCCCGGCCCGGCCCATGCCCACCCCTAACGATGACGTTTCAACCAAGTCAAAGCGTCGCCCCAAACATTGCCAATACAGTTTTTAATGCAGACAAGGTAGACTATCATTGTTCAAAACATGCACCAGCAAAGATGGGGGTCGATCGACCCAAATAACATCACACATCTCCGGATTACTTACCAACGCTAACACATCCGTCGCCATATTGGCTGATCTTGGAACCCAAAACTAAGGACAGTTCTGGAAAGCCTCGGCCAATTCTTTGACTCTTGCCAAGATAGGAAAAGCCTCCCAACTGCTTTTTAATATCCTAGTTACATTCCTATATAACTTGGAATTCAGGCTATCTTAGAGCATCTATAGTGGAATAGGCAAATCAAGTAAGCAAAATTGCACTACACGATCTTATGTGACATGTTAACTATTCAGTCTTGCTGTAAAAGGTTAATAACCTTAATGAGCTAGGTAAATTAAGTAAGCAAACTTTAGAGCGAGTTCTTAGGGTGCGTTTGTTGCATCGGACTATATAAGCAAGCTTTAGAGCGAGTTCTTATGGTGCGTTTGTTGCACCGGACTATCTCGGACTGGACTAACTTCATGGACTAAGCTGGACTGGCTTAGACTAGACTAAGCTGAACTAACTTAATGAAGTGTTTGGTGCAGTGTAGGACTAAGAAGGTGAACTAACTATAAATGATTATTATTTTTTAATTTATTATTATCAAAATTAATATATGAATAAAAAGGGCATATCCCACTTCTTTTTCTCGAATTGCAGGTAAACTCTGCAACTTCGAACCCATTCAAAACCCAGAAAACATCATAATTTAATCCAACCCAACAAAAAAGATTAAAGCATCATAATTTAATCAAACCCAACAAAAAAGAAATGGAATTTTAATAAAAAAAAAAGCAAAGTACGATATGCTTAAGAAGCAAAACTGGCAAAATTAAAAAAATAATAATAACACCAAAGATTGGCGGCAATCGATTGCAGCCGCTTGGCGAACATCGCGAAACTTCGCGAATTCGAATTTGTAGCCAAAAGGATGCAGTCGAGAGGTCGGAGATGACACTCAGAGACAACACTTGGAGATGGCACTCGGAGGCAACAAGGAGTCATCGTTGGAGATGGCGCAGTCGAGAGGAAGCAAGGGAACGGTCTTAGCAATCCTATGGTTCTTGGGGTCTCGCTAAGACTGTTTAGTAAGCCCGTTAGCCTAGGCGAGTGAGACTTTATCCCATTAAAGTTAGTCCCGGTGAGAAACAAACACTGGACTACCTTACCCTTTAATCCAGTCTAATCTAGTGAGAGCTAAAGAAGCCAAACAAACACACCCTTAATTCTTTACTTTGCTGCTTTGCTGCTTTTGAGTCCAAGCCTACGTTTAGTATGCAACCTTGAGCTACGCTAAAGGTTAGAAGCCAAAAACTTCGGTTATAATAAATAGTATAACACACTTTGGTGAGTGGAATCTGGAACTCGCTTGTCCTTACATTGTGCATATGATTTGGGGCTGTGGTAGTGGCTGGTTGAGATTGCAGGGGTTAACTGGGTAACCCCTCAAAGATAATTTGTCTTAAGTATAAGTCTTCAGGTAGAGGGCAACAGTTTTGTGGAGTTTTGCAGTCCTAGCGGTTTATTGGGTATTTGGTTGGGACAAAAAGAAAAACTTACTAGAATTATAGTGTGGATGAAGAAAACACTTAAGAAAGAACCAGGTTTGAACCATCTTTATGTGTTTCTCCTTCTACTAGTCATGGCAGCTCGTTGAAGTACACCAAAAATTGGGTGAGAGATCCAGTGCTAGTCGGAACTGCAGTGGTCCTATCGGTGTGCTACAACTTACTAATGTTAAGCGCGCTGACTTTTTGTTTTCTTTTGGGTTGATTCAAACACACGCAAACACATGGTGCAAATTCGAATGAAAACACTAACACATCTGCTAATTAGATTTCAAAATAACCTTTTGTCTGTATGTTTATTTTACATCTTGCTTTTCTTTTTGTGTGATTTTAGCAACGGACCACTAATGAGTACCCTGACTTCCCGTTGATTTGGCTGAATGCGTATGTTGTCTCCATTGGAGCGCTGATGGACACCATAGTGGCCGTCGCGCTTACTGGGAGTACAACGTATGCATGGATGCTGGGGTTGAACGTGAAGTTGGCATGCTACCTGTATTCATGGGGTTGAACGTGAAGGGAAATAACATAGAGAACACACAGAGGTTTTTGGTTGAATTTGGATGATTTCCATTGATCTCAGTGTATGGCACTATTTATACAGGTTTACAGAGAGGCTATACAAGCTTTGACAATTTGCACAAGGAATCAATATTTACATAGAATCAGGAATCAATATTTAATAAGGTAAATGAATGTGATCACAAAATCATCTTTCCGACACATGATTTCGTGGCCTGATGAGCATGATTCTCTCCATCTTGTTTATCGCCTTGCCACTCTTGGAGAACACATTCTGTCTTTCAGTAACAGCAAGTGCGCGTCTCCATCCACAAGATATTTGAGCTACTTTCTGCCAATGCAAGATGGATCATTAGATTCATTACCAAGATAATTCTCCCAGATGACAAGTCAAAAGAAGATAATCTCCACCGAACTGAATACTACAGAAATGAGAATCTACCTGCTCATGGGGAAATTTAACCTGCACAGGAGAACAGGGATCGATGTTGTCACCCACTCCAACTTGTCCAAACTGTCCACAAAATAGAAAAACGTAAGTAATGAACCGGAAGGGAAATGAGGAACTCACCCACTTGCTAATAAGATGGAAGTGACAGAAAAGTAAAAGCTTAGAAGGGAAAGGAAAAGAAAAATTATTCATGAACCAGGAAAAATTATTTATAAGTGAAAATAAGGGAACACAAACCTTATTGCAACCCCAGCCACAGAGTATTCTGTCAGATGTGAGTTTCTACAAGTGAAATTAATGACTGCAAACAAACAGTTGCATCTATCATATCCAAGTGAATTTCTATCCAACGCCAATTACTCTAACAATGCTTCATATGTCAATTAGCATGAGTTGGTGCATAATCTAGCAGACGAAATATATTTCCCGAAATAAGTTCAATGACCCACATTCTGAATTATGTGCAAACAGACACACACACACACACACACAGAGTGTACTGCTTTAGTCTTTGTTGTTTTTTCAGGTAGCAAGGAACAAGAGACAGATATAGTTTGAGATGCATGTGTTGGGCACTATTGTGGAGTGGTCAGGTCCCCAAACATCATAAAAGAGGGGGTTACTGTCTGAATGTGGAGGGTATTCAGTTGTACATACCATTTCATTACTCTCCATTCTATATTTGTCCGGTAAGCTCCATGCAGTATGATCAGATAACACATAATTGAAATTTGTTAAAAACTATGGCATGGACATGATTCAGCACCAGCCAATTTTTTTTTTTTTTTTTTTTTCCAATTATCTCAATATTTTCCAGGAAAAATATTCAAACATATAATTGCATATCCAACACAAATTTAGGAATACAATCAAAGAACGTGAACACCAAACTTCGTATGTGGTTTGACTACTTGCCTGCACCTACATCAACACTCAAAGTTCACTCTAAAGCACAACACTAAATCAAACTAAAGTTTTACCGTGCTAAAGCTGCAAACAGTGTAATTCATATAGATTTCATGCCCAAACAAAGGAAGTTCACCGATTGTCTTCCACCTCATATAAGTGATAGGCTCATGCATACCTTTTGGTCCCACTGTTGTAGCATGAATTCAAAATAAACCCTCAATGTTCTATACTTTATTATAAGCAGATCCCTTAAGAATAATAGTTATATCAGTAAACTATTCTTGGGTAAGCCATTCACTTAAGGATGCCATATGGAACCCAACGTTCTAAAAAACTAGTATTGAGACTAGCCTGGGCGGGGATATGAAGAAAGAACAAGGATTGTCTGCCCTCCTTGTTCCCGTGCCCTCTTGTTGCTCACGGTTAAGCCACGTCAACATTTTATATTGTTTTTTTTTATAGAGATAATAAGACAAAAATGAATAGTAATATAAAATGTTGACGTGGCTTAACCGTGACCACACAAATAGAAGGGTATGGGAGGGCACGGGAACAAGGAGGGCAGACAATCCTTGTCCATGAAGAAAACGCCTCTGCCAAGCAAGAGTGGGCTATAGACGAGCCTAGGCGTTTGGGAAGCGAGCCTGAGGCGTTATCGAGGCGCCACCTAGGTGCGTGAATTCTTTTGTTTTTTTTTATACAGCCCAAACCCAAAACGACGTCGTTTTGCGCAGGGTTTTTATAAAACTCAAAACTCTTTCGTCTTCTCCCACCTTTCTTTACTTCAAAATTCCCAGTCTCAAGCCAACGCTGCCCTTCTCCAATCTAACTTGTCAATTTCCCACAAGTTCTCAACAAACATAATTTTAAGTTTAAGGTTAGGGCTTCTCACCATTGGGGTTTATGAAAAATTAAAAATTCATGCTAATTTTATGTTTCTAACTTAGTATCTATTAGTTTATTATATTTTTTATATACAATTATATATTAAGTGTTATAACAATTTTAGGTACCCTCACACCTCGAGGCTATCCATGGAATGCCTTGGCTTCGCCTTCTCCTTTTAAAACATTGATGGAACCATAGAGTACAGTGATCAGGTATACTCTAAGGCGGGCTGTCACCTTCCAAAACAAGATTTCCACTTGAAATCTGTCTGGGATAATACTCCCCATTGACATTATGCCTAATCTTATAGCTTTCCAGCTTAAGGGGCAATTTGTGTTTCTGTTACCTGTAAAAAAAGAGCCTGCTTTGACAATCCTAGACAACAAAGCACATCCATTAGGTGGAGCCCCAGCACGGATGCTGAAGCACCATATTATCTCTCTTCCAAAGCCTAATCTCTAACCCTTTAGGAACCTCCCCGACTACTTTCAAGACAACGCCACTTTGAAAGATCCAATTCTCTTCTGTAATTTCAACTTAGTACAGAATTTACAGATGAAAGGAAAGCAATCTAATGAACACAATATGCATTGATGGGGGATATTACATTGTCTGAGGGAAAGTTGTGCCTAAAATTATGCAAATTTTATTTGTACCTTAAGGTCATAAACTATGTTAAAATACTACAACATAGGGCTTACTGTCAGATTTCTAACAATGCCATCTAATACTCCGTTAGATACTGTCATGGGCACATGACTCACTTTTGAGGCAATATTTGACTGCTCAGTGCTCACCAACTTGCCCGACCCCCAAAATCTCCAAATTCCCTCTTTTTCTTCCCTCCATTTTTGCCCTGAATTTGGACAGCATAAGCCCTACTTAGAGATGTTGGGGGGTTCAAGGGGTAGAAGGGAATTTTGCCCTTCTGTTAACAATATTTGGTTTCAAATCACATTTACTTAATACCATAAATGATGGCTAAAATCAGAATAAAGTAAACAGCACCGGATCTTAAGGCTTACATTAACCATAGAAACCTTCTCCGGGACCAAGAGATCGTTCCTATCACCTAGGCCCAAGTTTCCCCAGCCCCTCCCATAGAGCGACCCATCTTCTGTGACAGCTGCAGTATGTTCAGCACCAGCAGCAACCATTTTGACAGAAACTCTCTGCAACATGATATAAAAAAACTCATTGCATAACCATTTCAGGGAGGTAGGCCAAAAACAATAGTTCTGTAGGAAAGATAATATGAACCAGAAATGACATTAATCTTGGATTACAAGAAATTGGCGATATAGATAGCCAATCAAAGCTCCCAACTACTAAAGAACGATTACAAGAAAGAAAGGAACAGCCATAAATTTATTTAACACTGAATCACATAAGAATGCGAAAATCTTATTCTTGCCCCTACAAAATTTACTTCACCTTGTCTTAAATTATTAATTGTTTACTGCCCTTAATGTATACAAAAACTAGTCAAACCTCACACTCCAAAGAGTATTTGCCTTCTTAACGGCCCCAGCACCCATGTCACCACAACAATAAAAAATACTAACTTCTATGCAAAAGGAACTCTGATCCAAAGACTACCTAGCCCAAGGTTCCAAAGTGTTCTATAAAAAGTAAAGCAAGTAATGGGAGCTTAATGTTGAGAACTCGACCAATCCAAGAGTATGTGCAATATATTAAAAAACATTCATAAATCTATCACACGAATGAAAATTTGAAAATATAAGAATAAATCATAAGCTCTAAAGAACAAGTTAAAAATAAATGTGGACACAGATACAACTGAGGTGAAGACATGAAGGTAAAATGAAGAGGATCACATGGTATGCAAGTAGCAATATCAGATTATTGGATAGAGGACTTTGTCATAAGTTCTAAATTCAAACATGATACGGCTGTGTTCTTAGCTTATCAAACTTAAGGGGGGTACTTAGCCTAAAACAAAAATACATTTTTAGTCAATTAACAATAGTGTTTCCTCAAAATCACAAGGTTTCCTTCCCCTTTCTATTTTAAGTAAAGAAGATTATTTATGTTCGATTGTATTACCCTCCAAGCCAGTAAGACGTCGCTTTCTGTATCGAAAGACATCACGTCAACACCAACTATTGGAGTTCATGACTTAACAGTGATGACATTACAAATAAATGATATTTTATATTCTGCAAGGTAAGTAGGTTGCCTACCTATAAAACAACCAAAAAAAGGGCAATTTGTTTCAGAAACAGCTCTTTAAAAAAAAATGTACCATGCAACACGAAAATCACTTAAATATTTTATTTAAGATACTCAGAATGAAAGGAGCTGAACCTGGATAACAGGATCATGGATAGGCTCAGGAAAATGACCTTTATGGCCGGCACACTCAATATCAAAGCTCAATATTTGAAATGGAGCCATCTTCAAAAAATTCCCCTTCTGGAGTACGGCTGATAAAGTCTGAATATCTAAGAAAATGGTTTGTCAAGGACAGATAAATCAAGTAGGAAAGAGCTCCTAATGTAAATGGCATTCATTACATGCTTCACCAAACTCCAAATACTGCCTTGAATGGGTAAGGATACAGGCAATATAACTATAGCTGGCAGTACAACAAAGGCATAGTTGTCTTATATTGTCCATCTGGGTCCTGCACGGACCTCAATCCAATTTCCACCAACTATGACGCAATCAATCATTAAACGAAGCGCAAAAAGAACATTGCTATCATATCATATGTCATAAATTTCTTCATAAAAGGCCATCAATTAGTATGCCTTTTTCAAGAATGCCTGGCAGATTGGGGGGAATAAAACATTATTAGGCATAAGCCAAATGATGGAAACATTGCAGTACACGTTAATATGCAAGGTGCAAGACACAATATGAGAACTGCCCTCCAAATATATACTTTACGAAGAGTAAATTAGATAAGTACAATGATACAAAAGGAAAGACATGAAAGGAGTAGAAGAACATTTATCATCGAAGAAATTATGAGATAATCAATCATAAAATGCATTCCCCTGCATGTAGGTGTTTCATTCAAGAAATTAATTCAGATCCTGCCAGTTCTCGAATGTTAATGAAACTGAAATTTTACCCCGGCAGCTGGCCACCATTGTTGGCAAAGCAACAACAATTGTGAGAAAGGGTTCAGAATCCTGCTGCTGGAAATACATGATACTCCTCTTCTGCATCATTTCAACACGGCGAATGAATTTTGGTACCCTGCTGTTCCTGTTGACCTCTCCCATCCTCCCCTGTTGAATTACCAAACACAAAAGACAAAACCAATTAAAGTAATGCAACTTAACAAAAACAAAGACATCTGAGCTGCTCAAGAAATATAGTCAAAACATTACCTCAAGAATTCGATGAAACCTAGAAATATCGTCAGGAGCAGGGCCCCTCGATAAAAATGGCAGCGAACTATGTCCTAGGATAATGCGACAACTTATAAGACTCGGAAAAAGGCATATCTTAGTTCAGTTTAGTTTGGTAGCATATATGATTCCCGTGCAGCAACATAGAATACTTGGTAAAAGTTGCATTTCTGAGAACAAATAACCAACATGCTTGACCGAAACAACAACGCGGATGCTTTAGTAGTCCAAAATTCCAGGTTTATTCAGGTTTCTCAGTCAACAACCAAACATTGTCACAGCAGAAATTAGGAGCACAAGCTAACCTTCCTTTGTAACCCCAAAAATCCGGATAATGATGGCAATGGGAGAGTGGCGGGCCTCAGTCTCGAAAAGGGCTTCGTCGAGGAAGACGTCATCGTCGACGAATTCTTCTTCTGCGGACGTGGCCTGCTGCTTGGCTGGGTTCGCCGCCGGTTGTGGCGGCGCTGGCTGTTTTCTGCTCATGCCTTTGTTCATCGCCTTCGATTTTGCTTTTGGGGTTCTCCAATTGTTTCGAGAGTAATGTGCGAACTCGCCCAATAAGACCCGTGTGATTATTTTCCCGCCAATTTTTTGTGTGTTCCCCTTATTTTCCCTTACACGGAATATTCCATAAAATTTAAAAGAGTTCCTCAAACTGGAAGACTGGAAAGTGGAACCCTCCAATTCAAATGGGCTTTTAAAATAAAATAAAAAATCATCAATTTAATCTCTGAAAATGAACTTTCCGTACCAATTTGGTCTTTCTGTGGTTATTCTGTTAAATTTATGTTAGCGTGCTAATATGACAAACAAATAGATCCCATTTATCAATCATATGACACTAATGGCGGATTTAGAATTTCGACCATGCAAAAAAATGCGTTATTCATAAAAATAGTTGCAACAAATAAAATCGAAACTAATTCAAATTGGAATTATTGGGAATTTAGAGCGAAAGTATTTTGAATCAAATTGTTTGTTCTACTCAATTAACCAACACATAAATATAAAAAAACATAAACTATCATAATTAATCATATCAATATTTTCACTTTTCATGCAATAGATAGAAACTGGAAAGGTTGATTTCATTTCTCATCATCCATGGACCATGAACATGGAATAAACCCTTTGGTGTTGGGCTGACCAACCCTAAACTCTGGGATCGGCCCATTTGTTACTTTGGTCCTCACAACACACAAACAATTTAAAATCTAAGGTTAATTTCAAACTAAGTGCGTAATGTACGTACGAAATATAAACATCGAGGTGCTCTCAAGTCAATTAGGTATTGATCAAACGTAGAAGTGTACGAATGAAAACTTACTTGATTGCAATTCATTTATATGTTTGCATTGCCATCCAGTATTACGGTCTGGTGATATTCCTCTTCATTTGGAAGTGAGAGGTCTTAGGTTCAAATCTCGTGTATGGTGAATTTGATATCAAATTAAGCTGCTCATTGTGTGGTTTAACCGAACTCTCCCTCCCCAGTATAAAAATATTGATCTACTCAAAAAAAAAACTTTTCAAAAATTATACGTTTGCATTATAGATGTAAAATAGTTTTTTTTTTTATCAGAGGCATCATTGGTCATCTCATATTCATGGGCATCATGTTTTGCCTTAGTAGTGTTGGCAATAATATCATGTACATAAGCATGAAGAAATGTCAATAAAAAATGGTCTTACTCGTTCATGAGTTTTTCACATTACGTTTAAAGGAATGTGAGTTAGTAGGTGTCCGGTTTTAAAGGAATATGATTGGCATAGTATGATATATTTCATTGTTTCACATGTCACGAGAATTAAACTTATGCAAACACTTGCTAAATTATTACTTTTGCCAATAAATTTAAGCAATACTAATGAAAATTGTTTAAAAACTTTGAGTTTTAATCAAAAAGACAAAAATGTGTTATAAGTGAATAGTATCATGAATGACTTTTTAGAGTAAAAATGTATTTTTCATTAAAAGTGAATAGTACCGGATATGTTTCGTTAAAATTCCCTTAAATTTATACAATATTATCGAGATTTGCAAGAGGCAATAAGACCATACAAAGCAATAGACATTTAACGCGCTTAGGCCCTTGCGTGCAAATTTTGTGCCCCACACAAGTTAGGACACAAATCCTCTCCGGATATGAACCTAGGGATCAATAGATCCGGGCTATTGAAATTTGATCAAACAATTACAATTATTATAACTTTTAGGGAGGTTCCCTATTTGTAACCCGTTTGATCAAATCTCAATTACTTGGATCTATTGATCCCTAGGCTCAGATCCGGAGAAGATCTATGTCCCACAAGTTAATGAATAATGAACTAGCCCAAATATGTAAACAGAAAGAGCTAATAACAAAGTAAATAACTTGAAAAATCAAATTCCACACAATTACAATAGCAAGGAAATATAAGATGCACGACCAACAAAGAAAACTCACAAACATAACTTATAAGAATTCTAATAGTAATTTAATATATGTATTGTTAATCCTAAAAACTACCAAACATATGTGGCGCGTAAGCCGATTAATTAATAAGCTAACTACATCATTCGATTGTGTGCAGGGCATGCCAACTTGTCAGCCGAGCTCTGCCAAGTAGTAAAATGTGTTGATGTTACGTTAAGCGCGCTGCTGACTTCTCAATCTTGTGACTGCGATCGAGGAAGGAACGCGTCTCGGCCTTCGAGTTGTAAAGCCTGAAGACAAGGCTACTAGTCTTGCGAAGTTCACGGATTGTCGGCGTCGGGTTCGATCACGGTGATTATATTCGTAAAAGTATAAGCACGCCGAATTGGCACCAAACTATAAGGACATAAGTACTCAAAAGAGATGTATGTCTTGATGGTGAATGTGGTTCGACCGTCAGAATGCCGAACTCTAAAACTTACTTGTGGATATCCAATCATAAAACAACTTGGTGTTCAATGCGCCGAGCCCAGTAATCTGTAACACCTCACTTCGTCGAGAAGGCTAGTGAGATGACCCCTGCCAATAGGGACTCAAAAATCCTTCTTGATCGAGACTTGGATAGATAACCAGTCGGCCTCGACGCAGTGCTGTTTATCCAAACTAAAGGTGCTCCGCGGTTGGCTGATTCTACGGCAACAATGTTATTTCCAAGGTTCTAAAAAACGCTAGGCGCTAGTCGGGCGACGGGCTAGCGTTTAGCTTCTAGGCGGCGCCTAGGCAGCCTAGGTGGATTTAGGTAAATTTCTTGTATATCTTGTAAATAAGTGTATATTGACACCTAAAAAAAAAATATACTTGTATGGATAATAAAATAATAATAAAATGCAAATTAGATACACTATTTCCATAAGTATTGGATGAACTTGTAGTACATCCATCGTTTGCAAATTAGATACACCATTTCCATAAGTATATCACCATGAAACCAAAAAAAAAAAACACGCAATTAATAAAAAATAAATTAAAAAAACCTCCTAGGACCGCCTAGCCAGCCTAGCTGTCCAGCCCGCCTAGGCCCAACCCGATTTTTCCGCGCGATTTGCCTAAAAACGCCTCGGTTGCTAGGCGCCCAGAGCCTAGGCGGCCGCCTAGGGCGTTTTTTAGAACACTGGTTATTTCTCCAAATTGAAGATGCTACCAGTTGCCTTCACAATGTTATTTATCCAAACTAAATATGTGTCGTCAAGAAAAAGAAAATAAAAATGTCAAGGTTGTTGAGAGGTTTCGCGTAGAGCGAGAGTTTGCGCATGACAATTTATGTGTTGAATTAGAGAGAGCACTGAATGATGCACGCTTTTCTCTATTTATAACAATAAACTCTCTCATGGCCAAGCTAGAACCACACTCAGATTATGACTCCTTAACCTAATTTAACTAGGACTCGGCCAATCCTAATTCAACTGGGACTTTGAACCCACCTTTTAAACGAGCCAAATTCATCTCCCGAATCTCAGCATCCCTAGGACTCCTTATCATACTAGGTCTCGACTATTTCACCTTTATCCGAAATAATCCTCTTCATATCAAGATTCGGCCAACCTTAAAAGGGCCGGTCCATGACAAGATTCTAAACAAACATCTATGGGGCGAGCATATTTCTGAGCTCGGCCCAAAATAACATTTTGATTCCAAACATGTATATGATCAAGTTGTGTTCAAATCTGAGAATAACAATACCATCACCCATATCCGACTTAAGTGTTTTAGTAAAATACCCAAACTCAGCCAATTACCTCTATAACCGCCTCCATTAAGGTCAGATATCGGGGTACGCAAACTCATGGCATTTTGCCATCCCTACATGGCTACACCCATTATTAATAGGACATGGATCCTCTCCAGATCTAATTGTTCTAATCCACTTAGTCAAATCATCCGAGTCATTGAAATTAATCTAACGATTAAAGTTATTATAACTTTTAAAGTTGATCTTTATTTGTAGCCGTTTGATCCAATTTCAATGATCTGTATGATTTGAATAGGTGGATTAGGACAACTGGATGGATCCATGTCCCAAACCCTGTTGTGATTGACCGGATTGACGATGAGGTGGCCGCGTGCTCGTTACTCAAGAGTCACTGTAGTACAAGAACGCGTAACACCACCCAGTCAAAACGCAACCGCGTTTATAAGCACGGACCCGGCTTGCCTGGCCATTGAAATGACCCAATTAAAAAATTAATTCAGCAAAAAAATGATCATGAGGTGTTAGAAATTGGCTACCCTACCCCAAGTCTCCAATGACTCCGTCCACACGAATAAAATAAGCATAACTAATTAAGTAAACTTAATTAACTAGTTGTTATTATAATATCATTTGTGAGTGCTCACACTAAGTACACACTAGGTCGACAAAATTTTCACGACTGACCCGACATGAAAAATAACAGGTTTTGAGTCAATCCGTTAATGATTCTGGTCTTGTTAAGTCACCCATTAAGCATCCGTTAACGAGTTGGGTCGTTATCGAGTCACACGTTAAGAACCCGATAACATATCATTTTTCAGATCTAGACATTACACATATCAATTTTTGCATGATCAGTTAACCCGACACGAAACGACACGATCGGTTAATGAATTGAGTCATTATCGGATCATTCATTAGGAACTTGTTAAGATAACAAATTTGATACGACACGACCCATTAAGATAACGAGTATGACACAAAAACAACACAACCTGACAAACACAGCATACCCACTCCACACCAACCCCCACAAAATAATTGAGATTAGAGAGTAATTCCTTACCACTTTATATCCCATTGGTTAATTATAAAATTAAGCATCAATATTTGATATGTATATACTAAAGAACAAGTATGGTTTGGTTAAGATACATAACCTGAGTTAGATATATGGTTTTTAAGCCGGCAATATAGTTAAAAGCAATACTCTTGTACTCAATTTTCTATGTTCAGTTCCCTGCTTACTGAAATCGCTTGCCAAAAAAAAAAAAAGACCCATATATAAGTAAAAAAAAAAAATTATATATATATATATATATATGTATATATGTATTCAAATTCCATTCAAACTCTGTGGCCCGTCGCTTTAAAGACCCCCAAGGAAGAAAAATAAGCAAAGAAGAACAACTTCTAGCTAGTCAGTCCATGGATGCTGAAGCTTCACCGTAAGTTACTCGATTGCTTTTTTTCATCGATCACCTCTATTTTCCAAACTGT